TCTGTGCAATAGATAAGGTGCATGTATATTTTCGTATACATGACCAGGACAAGCATACGGCCTTTTTATTTGCTTTTCAATTATCCAATGTAGTCAGAAAAAGAACTCACGAAAATTATATTATTTCGCCATTGAATTGCTTAAAATAAACAAAAGTAGTTCTAATCAAAATTAGTTCAGATGATATATCAACATCTTTTTTATTTATTATACGAATGATCTTGGTACAACTTTAATATTTCCGATAAACCCAGATGACCAGATGATTCCTAATGACCCAAATGACATAGGTCATTGTGTCTTGAATCATTTTTAAATGACCCAAATTCCAAATGACAAAGTATGATTTTAACGTGACTTGGGATAATTGAAAATTAGCCAAATGACCAGGTCATTTGTCATCATTGTTCAAATTTGTGTGACAAATCTTTCCTTTCGTACGACAACTGAATCACAACAAAAAAATATCAATAACCAAATTTAGTTTCTGATTATTTATGCAAGATACTTATGGAAATATGTTCTGTTTTTTCTTATTAACTTTATATTCTTTATTTTGAGATGAAATCCTAATAACCTAATGTATTTTTAAAAAGCTGTTATTGCTGTTGTCTAGTTATACATATGTATTTCCTTGACTCATTGCTATGAAGCTTTTTTTTTCGTGTTCATAGTGGGAATAAACTAATAATATTTATAAATTGACATCTTAGTTTTTATTTAGTATATAGTGTTGATAAATTCATAAACTATTTTCCCTCCTTAAAATAATGATCATTCCTTGAAAAATTTCTATTGAAGTTTGTAACGATAAATTTATTTTCACATGTATCTGGACTTCATTCGTTTACTTCATTAGGTATTATATGGATTGGTTTATAAATGAAAGTAGGTTTGTATGGTTTTTGCTAAAAGATTGATAAGAACATGATATTTCAATGTATTGTAATAAATTTCGCGATAAATTCACGCCTTGCGAAACCATAAAGGTCAAGCTATATGGAATGCACTCTTCCTTGATATATAAATGTATGTGAAAACACAAATATTTATGATATCGCTAACTAAACTATTGTAGCTAGCTGGGTAGGTATAATGAGAAAATTTCTTGGTTAATGAAAGATTATTTCAATTCGAAGACTCATTTCTTAACAATATATCCGAGAACTCTAACGTCAAAGCATCGAGAGTTTCAAAATTTTTTGGCCAATTAAAAGTAAAAGCTTGTCCGATAATTCAGGTAATTTGAATTAATAGTCAGTGTTAGATCCACTGGTATGCTAACAAAACTGATTTAATTTAAAGTTGAATAATTGCTAACCTTTTAAAGTTAGGTATCAACGCACCGAATTTGTTTTGTATACATGACTATCCTTAATAAATACAAATAATTGATAAATGTGAATGAGTTTTTTGTGGGAGAAAAACGTTTCAATTATAAATTTTTCTTGTCATTCCACCGAATATTCTCTTGAATTTTCTTCACTTCGCTATGTGAATTCCCATTCGTAGGTAGTTGGCACGGAATTGCACCAACCCATCCCGTTGTATAATATTAAAATTTGAATTAATAAATTAAATTAAAAAACATTACGCGATAAGAAAATTTGGTAATGCATGAATGTACTACAACATGATTTGAAATCAACCGAAAAATTTCTTAAGAACATATTTAGAGAATTCTTTCAATTTAGGCTAATGCAACAATCATTCCGCCGATCATTTCTTGAGAATCTTCTATTAGCGAATTAAAAAGAATTTTTCATTTATTATTTCCCTAATAACATTATAACGAAAATTGTATAAAAGTACGAACAAACTTTCTAGTATTTCAGGACCTTATTTTTTGAAAAAAAAAATTTTTTCATCATTCATCATGCAAAAAAATAAATTCCTGGACAGAAAGATTAAGCGAAAATACCTGAACAAATGTAATGATTGTCATCAATGGAGAAAATCAATTAATGAGAGTCATCAGATTTGCAAAGTTTGTTATAAAGCCAAAACGATAGATAATTTGAGCGGAAACAAATTCGTGGATGATTTTATCAGATATACCCAAGTTAATCATTATAAACAATTCGGAATAATGGAATTTGTTTCCCATGATCAATTCAACAATGTAGAATTTATTGCTGAAGGAGGTTCTAGTAAAATTTACAAAGCGACTTGGACAAATGGATTTATTCGTTATTGGGATAAGAAACAACTCAAGTTTAAACGTAATGGTCCTACGACCATTGCCCTAAAACAGCTTAAAAATTCTAAAAATATCACTTCTAAAGAATTAAATGAGGTAAATTTTCTTTCGCATGTGATTAATTTAATTAATAAGAATTTTCAACAACTTTCTAATTGTACCTTTTAAAAGCTCAAGATATTTTATGATTTTTCCTTAAATTGGAAAAAGAAGAACGGCGCAAAAAAGGAACTCAACTATTCTGATAATTATTTCATCATTGATTATTATGGAATTACCCAAGATCCTATCACAAATGATTTTATGTTAATAATGAATTATTATGAATCAGGTGATTTACATCGTTATATAAGAAATGATTTTTATAATATTGATTGGCAGAACAAGCTGAAAATATTGCGTGATATCATACGTGGACTTGATAGCATCCACAACAAAAATATTATCATCCGTGATTTTCATAGTGGAAATATTCTTAATGCTGGTTCATTTGCGGTAATAAGTGATTTAGGAATAAGTAAATCTATAAATGAATCAACTGATAATAATGGTGGGGAAATTTATGGAATTCTCACTCATATCGCTCCAGAGGTATTTCAAGGACAAAAATTTACCACAGCTTCAGATATTTATAGTTTTGGAATGATTATGTGGGAGCTAATGACTGGTAGGATGCCCTTTTGGGATCGAGATCATGATACCGAACTTATTATCCAAATTTGTGATGGTATTCGTCCTCCAATTCTCACAAATGCACCTGGAGGTTATGTTGAACTAATGATGCAATGTTGGCATTCGGATCCGAATAAAAGACCATCAGCTGCCGATACTAATAAAAGCCTTGAAAGAATCATTAACAGTGAAAGGGAAAAACCAACTGATATTATAAAATCATGTGATATTGGACCCATAACAACAAATAATCAAACAGTCTACGAAAGTAGGACATTGAGCAACATGATAATATCTTCAATGACTACGATAAGTTTAAAAACTCAATCTGTTATCTCGGAATTAGGTATGAACTTAATTATTTTTTTAAAAAAAAAATGAAAAAAAAACCAACAAAGTTAACCTTCATTAATTATTTAGATACATGTTATTATTTTCAAGAAAACCATAGTGGTAATTATACATCTGATTTATAATTTTTTACATTATTATTAACAATAATAATTATAATTATTTTCAAAAACATAACAGGTAAAAGAAAATTTGACGATAATTTGTTTGATGATAAGATTGTTAAAAGGAATAAATATTCCGAAAATAAAAATGGTACATATTCCCGTGTCGATTCTAAACATTTGCTAAATTTATTTTTTTAACTTAATGAATTTATTTTTAAACTTTTTTTTTAGAGTATGTATCAAAAGAATATGACTTTGACATTATTATGAATTTGAAAGATTCCAATGATGGTATGTAAATGATATCTAAATCCTTTTTATAATTTTGTTTAATCTATAACAAAATTTATTTTTAATATCTTTTAGGATACATTTCAAGTGAATTAGATTTTAATATTTGATGGGATTGAAAATATTATTTTATATTATTTACTTTTATTTTTATTTTATAAAAAAAAATTTGATTGTTTACAAAAATGAAATAGGTCTATATTCACTATTTACATTTTGTATTTATGAGCTTATTTATATAGAAATTTAAAAAATAAATAAAATCTCAATAAGTGATTTTTCAAAAGAATAACACTTTAATTTGTACAATTTTTACATATTATTTGGCCGAATTTCCGAATTAGATAGTTAGTTGGCAATATTTTTATGATTTAATCGGTAAAATAAATATTTTCTCATCGAAATTTTAGACATAATATTCTAAACGTAACAAGTTTAATTGTAATTTTCATAGATTGTTAATTATAGCGTTTATTAGTCAACCAGTATCATGTTTACAAGTAAAACCTTAAATCACTAGAGTTCTCAGTTCAAATGTATTGAGACATTTCATACCCTTTGGAATTGAAATCACTGGCAAAAGTATATATACATACCATCTATGAAATATGAACACAAAAAGTAGTAATATTAGATTTGTTAACTTAAACTATTATTCGAATTCCATTTTCCTTCAAATGCTATTCAATTAAAAAACCTTGAGGATACAACATGTGAAGTAACAATTGAGAAAATGGATTCTTATACAATTACATATGAAAATCTTGCAAGAGTCACATTGACCGAACAAAACCTTAAAGAACAAAAACAAAAGTAAATATTCATAACAATTATATAAGCCAAAATAAGGAGAATAAATAAAACTTCGACTAAAAAATTTTCTGGCTTATCATTGAAAGTCTAGTATTTTTGCCGGTTATTTATGACACATTCATAAAAGAATTTAAAGTCAAAAAAAAAAAGTCTAATAATTTAATCGGTGACAGCCATTATTAAAATATTCATTTCAATGTGTTTGTGATAATAAAATGAATAAATATTTATTAAATCATATATGATCATAATTCATAAGAAGTTTACAGATGCCCTAAGAAAAGCTATTTATAACTGAAGAATTGTTAAGAAAAAAAACTATCCCTATTCACGAAATGTATCTTAACACAATGTATAAATGAGAAAAAATAAAGTTAAAAAATAACAACCATAGAATTAAATAAAAGACAAAATATGGTAAAATTGTATTGAAAACGGTTTAATATTCTCGAATGCAAGTTTGCACTAATTTACACAGTCCTCTTTTTTGTGTCTTGGCCAGTCATCCTTCTGACAAATTTTACTACAATAAAAAATCGATTTACATTTTTGACATATCCCACCACCGGACTCGGGCGACTTCGTGCATAACTTGCATATCCTCTTAACTTCGCATTTGTGCGGACTCTGGATTTGTTCGCCCTGGACGTTTTGTTCACATTTAAGACATTGCCAAGAGTGAGGTAGCTCGCTGCTCATAATAAACTTGCGGTTGTAAAAGAGTAGCACTTTCTTTGCATGTTCGATTTTTTCTTCGTCAGCATCAGGCTCGAGCATGGTTATTTCCCAGCAACAAGCGCAGATTCCACTTAATTCCTGGAACTCGCGTCGACTACGCTCGTTTGGGAATTTCTTGTAGGACTCGCCGCAACATATACAATTTCTGGCCATAATTATTTTTATTTTTTTATTTTTTTTTTTTAAAAAAAAAAATTTTGAACAAAAATTTGAATACAAAGATTCTTAATGAACGTTCGTTAAAAGAGGAGGCAAAAAATAAAAAAAATCTTTTAAATAAACTATTTCTAAATGAAACCTTTATATAGGCTTAACCGCCAATTCTTTGATTAGGTCACACAGCATAACCATACTACCATGTGGTTCTGATGAAATTTATTTCGAAACTCGAGCTTTGTTTGTTCTAGGATCGTTACACATCCACCAACAACATGGTTAGTTTCGTGTAGCATGATATTCTAATCATAATAAATATTTGCAATTACGCCTACATTGAACTTTCGGTGTTTTTGTGCCTTTATTTCCTTAGTTGATCGTATTCATTTTATGATTCTCACGCATAACAATTCTTGAAGATAATTAATTTTATTAGAACTCAACAACATTAAATTAAATTTCTTTTTCGATAAAGTTATTAAAAATTGATATTTTGGGTAGGAAAAAGAAATAATTTGCTAAAATATATAGACAGAGAATCTAAGATAAGGCTGGCTTTATGCCGAATGCCGAGAGGTCGGAATATGCTATCTTCAAAATTGGCTTAAAAAATTTACGTATGGACACTTTTAACGAGAAATATAAAAGATTCAGTTTTTCCAAATCCAATAAAAGGAAACAAATGAAGAAATAAGACGAATATTCTTTTTATAACAATTTCCCTAATAATTTATAAGGTTTATGGTTATTTCATTCAACCTTATCCATTGCAAAACTGCACACGGATTGTTCCGATTATCAAGGACTGTCAAAGAACATAAAATAGAATAATGTGAATGATTCTTAGCTAAGAACAATAATTTGTTAGTAAAAATTTTGCATTCGATTAATTTTTTTTTTTGCTTTAAAATGATAATAATGTGTCTCAACTTATGAATAACATTTATTAAATTTACACACTCTCTCTTTCCGCTGATCTTTCAACCAATGTTTCTAAAGTAACTACGCATAAACACATACAAA